GAAGATATTTGTTTGTGTTTGTAGAGAAATAATAAAAAGGATAATTGTGTCTTTTCAATTATTAGAATTACGTATATTATATATTTTTACTTGTATTATTTAAGATCTCATCCCTTTTTATCATTATACTTGAATTAATTTATAGATATTTTTAGTGCATTTTGTTTAAATACAAGTTTAAGAGTATGTAAACCAATATTGATAATTTATTTTAATATAATTTTGAATATGTATAGTTTATGTAAAATATTTTATTTAAAATTAATGTTTTCATAATATAAATATTTCATCCGCACTTTATGATCCGCTTTCACCATTCAACACATATTTTGAAGCGTTCGAACCACTTGATCCGCACTTGTAATGCCAGATCTGCTTGATCCGCTGTTGTTCTGCTTGATACGCTTGAACCGCTTGATCCGCTCTATCCGATTCGTTTTCTCCATTCGGAGCCAATTAAAATTGTTGAATGGAAAGATGAAATGATGAACTGTATGATGATAATTAAAATTGTTGAATGGAAAGATGAAAACTTGTCATCCGCTCTGCTTTTTGATACGCTCTTTTCCCACTCTTCATTCACAACCTTTTTTTTTATACGACCTCGATTTGTTTTCTCAGACCTAACAATAAGAACCATTTTTATCCAAATATGTGTGACCTAACATAAGAACGTACATTATAATCACTTAATTGTTATTACCTACTTACGGGAAAATATTTGTCAAAAGTCAGAACTCAGAACCAACACTAATGTCAAGCATACCATATTTGAATTTATATATGCATATAACTTGCACTGTGGTTCTACTTTTATGTTTTAAATTTGACATTAGATAATTAAGGATCTATGATACGTAGAACCTAGTTTATAATTTACTATTTAATTATAATATTAGAAATACAGGAAGCCTTTTATCAATATATATAGATATATATTATATATATATATCTATACTAGTATAATCGCAGCACTTTTTGTGACGGGTGGGTAAAAAAGCTTTCGGGTATATCGGATATCCGACCCATTTTAAAAATTCATTCAAAAAAAATTTGTTGGGTCGGGTTATATTTAACCCAACTCATACACCGGATATTCCATATTTAATAATTTAGATTTTTAGAAGATTTGATTAAGATTTATAATTATGATTCTCCTATCATCTTTGTTTGATTTGTTTTTAACTGTTTTGAATCATCATATAATACATAAAGTAAAAAAAAAAATCAATTTTTTTTCTGCATATACTGTGATTCAAAATTTTAAAAACGGACATATATTATCCAATTGACGAAAATGTGTGTTCAACATTCTACATCGATTAAAATATTTAGACAATGATTCAGAATCATATCATAAATAAGAACATTAATAAAATAAATGAGTTTTTTGGCGGGATGGGTTTGGCGGGACGGGTTTTTGAATCAACAATAATAAAAAGATTAAAATATCATTAATCCGCCGCTTCAATACGGATTTAATCCTTATTTTTTTAATACAAATCACAGGACGGGTTAAGAAATTACGGAACGGGTTATATTTCGGAAATGATTTATATGGCGAACGAATTTGAATCAATATTTATATACCGCTTTAATACAGGTTAAATCCTCAGTTTATTAATAATTATCTCGTGGACTCGTGGTATACCGTTACTTAATAACAATTGTAAACTATAATATAAATAAATATGTTATAAGGAGATACAATTTACAAAATATTTTTATACTAACTTTAAAATTAAATCATCCCGCGGGTTAAAATCTAGTATATTGTAAAAAAATTTGAAGTTATACAGTGCTGGTTCTGCTTGTAAGAATAACAATAAATCCCATAGTTAACCATGTAGACCCACTTCATAAGAGAAGTAAAATAGTAAATGCATATGTAAAGTCAAATAAAAATTCTTCTAGAACAATTCTTAGGAATGTGATTTAATACTGTCTTCTGTCTAGCTAATATAATATACCGTCGCATCTGATTTGTTTTAGAATGTTCAGAGTATTATTATTTTTTAACACAAATGTGCAGAGTCTCATATATATAGGTTCCGAATGGAGAAAGCGTATCGGGCGGAGTGGATCAAGCGGATCAAGCGTACCAAGCAGAACAAAAGCGGATCAAGTAGATCTGGCGGTACAAATGCGGATCAAGCGGTTCGAACGTTTTAAATATGTGTTGAATTGTGAAAGCGGATCAGGCGATGCGGGTGAAATATTTATATTGTAGAAAATGTTAATTTTAAATAAAATATTTACATAAACAATACACACTAAAAACAATAATATTAAAATAAATTTATAATATTGGTTAGGATATTCTTCAACATGTATTTAAGAAAATATTTATAAATGTACTAAAATGTCTATAAATTAATTTCAATTTTAGATAAAATACTTTACAAAATAATATACATATTATTATAACTCCAAAAAATAGTTTAGATAATGCAAGTAAAAATATAATATTTGTAATTCAAGTATTTTAAATCATTATCCGAAATATAAAATTTGGATTAATATGTGTTATCGTAATATTAACAATAATGATCATAATTGTTTGGGTAATTTATACAATTATTTTCATCTGCAGTTGATAAATTTGATTTGAAAACAGATAAGACTTTGCTAAAATAGCATAATAATGGGTACAAAACTATTATAATGAAGAGAATTATCTTAACTTGAAATTGTTATTTTATTTTTATTCTTTTTAAATATGTAATACTTTCATTTTATTTTAAATTATTTAGTGTTTTAATTAAAAAGTAATAGTATTAAGTCTAACAAAGAACTATCTTTTAATAACTGTAATATTATTTATTTTTGTAACATTTACTTTTATAACATTATTTGTTATTTAAATAAGTTTGAGTACAAAAGAAACTTGATCATGAAAATCCCAAAACAATATTTTTATTAAATAAATATATCACAGAAGAAACACACTTGATACACTCGTTATTGGCTGTGTAATTACTGTTGTTAGCAGATCATGGTTCTTCTTCACAAATTTGAACCACTTGCGGTTCCTTTAATATTTTATTATTTTAAATGTTGAACTGCTTTTTAATATAATAGAATGATGAATGGAAGCACAAAAGTGTTTCTCCCACCCTTGACGTTTGAACCGTTAAATAACCGTACGCCATTCAAGGCCATAACATTTGTTCAGTCGACAAAAAAAAAAAAAAACATTTGCTCAGTCAAATTTCTTGTTGTTCTACACTAAAAACTACCATTACTAACATGACAAACATTCCACAAAAAATTCGTACGAAAAATTCCACAAACTACACTAAGCGGATAATCTGGCACGAAAAATTCGTACGGAACCGCTTCATATCACTTATGTAAACAACATTCCACAAGAATGGCTCTTTTGAGTACTATTTTAATTAAAAGAAAAAACATGACAAACCAAAAAGAAAATCTATTCAGGCAACCAGGCGAAACAGATACGAAACACATGACTTATTCCATTACCTTTAAAACTTTTCAAAAAAGAAAAAAAAATTAGTGCAACTCACATTTCTTGTAGTTTACTTTTTTTTTTTTTTTTTTTTTGTATATTCTTAACAACAATGAAGTGGCATAATTCTCGTAAGAAATCAGCGAAATTCAATATCTTCAACGATTTGATTGCGATATGAATTTTCAATTTTTTTAAAAAATACCACAATACTTTTTAAGTTGGAAAAATATCATCCTAGCAAACTTTTCAAGTTTAAAAAATACTATATCCTATCATAAACTAGATTAGGATCCGTGTTATACACGGGTTTATTAATATATATATATATATATATATATATATTACAAATTTAGTAAATTTATTATAATTATATAAAAATGGTGTTTTGCAACTTTACTTTTCATCTCTAAAAAATACAAATCAATACTACAAAGTCAAAAATAATATGCAATATAATTTTTTTAAAAAATATTAAAAATGTAGTTTAGTAAAAAAGTTTCTAAATATAAACTATTTAATAAACTACAAAGTCAAAATTTTAAAGATATAAAATATTCATAATATTAATAGTTAAAAAAGTAACTATTAATATTATGAATAGTTTATATCTTAAAAAATTTAAATCATTTTCTTATATTTTTAGTTTAGTTTTGAAATTGAAAAAGCTAACTACTACAAGAATCAATGCATTATATATAAATTTACATTAGATATAAAATGTATTATTTGATTATACAACACCAAATAAAATTATTTTTTAATATTAAAAATAAACAAAAAATTACTTTTGAATATTTTTGTTGATCAATCGATCGGTTAATCTGAGATTTTATGTTTATAATATTGATCACATGATGTTAAATACTTCGTATATCTGACCATGTAATCCATATAATTAGATAGCAAAGTGTCATTTAGTTTTGACATGTGAGCTATGTATTCTGCTATATTTAAGTAGCTGGCGATATTTTTCCAAAAATAATAAACAAAATACAGTGGTTTCGTCAAGCACTACAAATGATCGTGTGGCCCAAAAAGCCCAGCAGCCAGCTTTGACTCATCTCCTTCTTCATCTTTTTTGGTCAAACTTTGACTTTTCTGGAAAAAATTAATTTAAAATCGGAAAACAAATTAATTTAAAATCCGAAAACAAAAGAGTTCACCATTTCTTTCTCTCTTCTACTCTCAAACTCGAAGTTTCCTTTGATTGCAAAACTAATCTCAAACTCAAAGATCTGCCCTTTAGGGATTTTCCAGATCTTTCTCCCTCTAAAGTCTCCACCTTTAACTCGTTTTCTTCTCACCTGAATCCAATCAATCTCGCCGGAGAGAATTCACCTTCTTCCAATTGACTCGTCGGACATAGTCCGACCTTTCAATTCGTCGATTCTGTTTTCAATTCACTGATCGATTGATAAGAAATGGGTTACTTGTTCTTCTGAGTCTCTCTTTAGCTTAAAGTTTGTTGCTTTACGACACTTCGATTTACCCTTACTTGTTCAAGTTCTTCTTCAAATTCGTAGTT